TTGTCAAATAAAGATCAAAGTTGACGAGCTCAGGGGGCTTCCATGGCCTTGGCAACTCATGACTAGAGCCTGGGGAGATTGTTGACGCCTTTAACAAGAGTGTCAAATTGTTAAGTCAGCAACAGGAGTCACTGTGCACTTACTCCCCATGTAGGATCTCTGTCCTTAATGTGTAGTTCAATGTGAATTAATAATATGACTAGTGCTCTAACAGTATTTGGCACTTTGTGTTCTGTGTGGGGGTAAACTGATGAAATCTTTACTTAATATATACTAAATTGATCTTCTGTATATAAAGTTAATCGAAAATGAAAAAAAAAAACATGGCTCAAGACACACACTGTTACACATGTGTAGGACAGAGACTGGAAGTGGGATGGGAGTACAAAGGAGGGAGGAATTAATGCCACACAGTTTACGGGAAGTGTTTGCTGGCACAATTGGTTTGGAAAAGAGGGTCAGGCTTTAACTGCCAGTGTGGGAGAGATGCTAACTATAGACTAAAGACTTGTGTCCCCTTCCCACCGCTTGGACTAGTGGTTGTAAGCCACTGTCTGGCTGAGAGCTTTGTTTCAAGGCTTCCTTGCATCCGGGTGAGGCCTATAACCAGCACTCAACATGAAATGTTGGCCAAGACGGTGATGGTTGTCCCTGAACCGTCTGTGATCCAAACAGTGATCTTGGGATGAGTGCTGGGTGCAGTGGCAATGTTGCTGTATGGGACACCCACATTCCATACTGGGCCTTGGTTTGAATCCTGCAGCTCTACTTCAGCTCCTGAACCGTGGTGATGAGCATTCTGGGAGCTGTGGGCGATGTATCAAGTTCTTGTGTGACCCTGATAGAGTTCTGGGCTCTTGGCTTTGGTCTGACCAGGCCCTGGCTGTTGTGGGCATTTGGGGAGTGAACCAGAAGATGGACGATCTCTGTTTGTCTTTCTATCTCTGTTTTTCTCTCTTTCTGTCTTTTAAATAAAATTAAACTAAGTAATAAAGCTTTTTAGAAATGAAAATAAATATAACAAATATTAAAAAAGAACAGGTGTTCTTTCTTCATTCTCTTATTCCCCACCAATTGGCTACATGCTGCTGCTCAGGCTGTCTTGTGGGCCTTACTTTGGCCTGGCACGTGGCCAGCAGCAGAGTCTCCAAGTGTCTGTGGGGAGCAGCCCCACCCCCTCCCCAGCACCCTTTGGCCAGGACCTCCTGGGACACTACAGGAATGAGAAAGGATCTTCCCGTGGGTTTGGGGTGTCTTACGCATTTCAATTGTATTTGTTACAAATATTAGGTAGCTAATGGGAGAAGAGAGAAGCAGTAGCCACAGCTTTCAAGGTGTGGGAAAGAGTGAGAACAAAGACTTAGAGGCAAGAAAATCAAGAGTATGTGCAACCTCTCACACAGTTGGGAGGAGTGTCCAAGGTACAAGCTCTGTGGAATGTAGTCTCATTTTTTCTTATTAAATTAAAAGTGAGCCTGTCCTATGTTCGAGCCATTCCCTACTAGTTACTTACTTAAGAAAAATGAAAAAAAAAAAAAAAGTCGATGCAAAGACTTGGGCTAGAGTGTTCACAGCAGCTTTACTGGCAGTAGTCAAAAACTGAAAAGAGTCCACTATCTACCAATGGCTGAATGGCTGAACGGATAAAATTTCTATGACATTATTTATATTATGGAATACTATACAGCAATGAAAAAGAATGAATTACCAGTAAATGCAATGATGTATATCAGCATCAAAAAAATTATGCTGTATGAAAGGAGCCAGACACAATAGAGAATACACTGTGTGATTCTTTTGTATGAAGTTCATGACAGCAAACGAGTCTCTGGTGACAGATGTCAGGATAGTGTTGGCTTGTTGGAGAGGAGATCGGCTGGAGAAGATGTGAGTGAAACACCAAGGGGGTGGTATGGGGTTGGATATATATCTTAAAGCTCATTATAGTGCATACTTAAGATCTGTGCTTTTCACTGTTTATAAATCTTCCTTTAGTGGAAGCTAAATAAAAACAAACCTGGTCAGGAAAATGAATGAATAATTTTTACGAGAGCATGGGGTTCTAGAGGGGCCACAGGTAGAGAATCCAGCAGCGTAGATGACTGGCATAGAGGCTGAAGCATTTAATGCAAAGAGGATCGGAATTCGTGGCCTGAACAGGGCGCCATCCCAGGCTTGCGAGCAGCACAGGAACAAGCTCACGTCCGAGTTTTCAGAACATGAGTGCTAGCAGCATGGAGGAGACAAGAGAGTGAGCTGACAGGTATCATCAGGGCCGGGGCCCCTGGGAGTGACGTGCAGACTGGAACTTCCCTGTCCATGTATGCAAAGCCAGCCCAGGGAGATGGCTGCACATTCACCGGCTGTGTTTGCCAAAGGTCGAATGCTGAAACAAACAGTTTCTTTCATGGAGAGAATATTTTAATCCCTCTGACTCGGTAGTAAGATCAGGCCACGTGTTATTATTGGAAATGATGTCTATTATTAGTTACTATTACTACTCTTGGACCATGCAGAGCTGAGGCTCGGGAGGAACTGGGCAGATCCCAGAGACAGAAATGGTCTGTGAAGTTTGCATTTTCCAGAGCTCGACAGACAGGCGCTCGGCCTTGCAGCTACTTGTTTTATATCCATCCACTAACACCTCGGGCTGGGCTCTTCAGTGTGCGTCAGCAGCTCCGAGAACCTGGCAGGCGTCGCGGACAGCGGGGATGTGGAGGGTGTGCGCCAGCAGGGGTGCGCCTGGGCCGGGAGGGCCCCGCTTCTTGGGAAAGCAGCGATGGTAGAACCGCAGGGCCCAGGCTCAGAGAGGGAAGTGGTTCCTCGGGCCACAGCTGAGCCGCGGGGTGGGTCTCCACTCTTCTGGGCTGGGCTGCTACAGAGAGGCTTCTGTGCTATCCTCATGTAGTGTGGCGAGTAAGCTCACTGCTTTCTCCAGCACTCACCAAAGACGTGGGGATTACTGAAGCAGCTCAGAGAACTCCTGTTCCTTAAGCTGCACGTGTGTGTCAGACTTTCTGAGCGTTCACTCTCCCTCGGTGCTGGCACACAGAAGTGGGAAGTCAGACGCGTCCCTGGTCTCCTCTGTTTCATTCATCTTGCCCAGCAGTTTTTCCGTGGCAGGTCTTTTCCGAGACGGCTCTGAATTTATGTATTTTTTTTCCCTTTCGGCAGATGATTCATTAAATGTCAAGCCAAAGATGGCCTTATTTGAAATCTTTGGTCTGATTTTTCTCTTAAGCATATCCAGAAACCAGAGCGGCAAACCCTCGAGCAGACTTGGAACCAGGGTCTCCTAATTGTTGTTGTATATGTGTAGCAGACGCTCAGTAAGTGCTTGAAGGACAGCTAACCTGAGCTCCGTGGGACCCTCTGGCTGCCCCTAGGAGCACCACTGTGTGGGGTCTGCAGGTCTTGGTGGTTTCGTGGCAATGTCTTCTTACGGGGTTGTTGCCATGTCTGCCATTCCTTGGTGGAGGTGTCTCTCAGTGGCCCTAGAGGGTACTGCTCAGAGAGTGGGCAGCCATCCTGATGTGAATTCTCGCGAGACTGAGTTCTTCAGAACAGGCCTGCCCTGCCCCAGATGGCGGTGACTTACTTGCACACGGAGTCAATCTTGGAAGCTGCAGGTGGGCAGACTTCTTTGGAGGGCAGGGCTGATCGCCGATGACAGCTGGAGCTCTCGTAGGGAGTCCTGTTTCCTGCTCTGGGCAAATCTGAGGACCCCAGAGCCCTGGTCACACACATGAGCCTTTTGTAGCAAAGCAGAGGCGAAATCTTTACAGGCAGATCCAGGCCTAGGTTTGAATCTGGCCCTGCCTTTCGCTCGCAATGACACCTAATCCATACACGTGCAAGCCCTCACCGTTAAGTGTCCTCACCGATAAGTGAAGGTGCTAATGGACTCGTGTGTTAGTCAGGGTGAGTAATGCAGGGTCCCATGTCCAATAAACAGAAATTTCATTGCCTTACCGTGGTTGAGACTTGCTTGTCATTCACATAAAGTCTAATATAGGTGGGGTGTTTTTGGCTTTTCTGGTGGCTCCTCTCTGGGAAAGGACGCGTCCATTGTGTGTATCTTCTATCTTCTAGCGAGCTGGAGCTGGAGGCTATGTTTCCAGCCTTGGAAGAAGCAAGAGGGGCAGGGGAAGAGGGAATTGGGGCAGGCAGAGAATACAAGATCCTTGATTTCCAGAACAAAAGCTCTCATTCCTTCTGCTCAGAAGATGTACAGCAATGCATGAGACCAATGAAGAATTGTCCCCTAATAGTTGGTAGCTCGCACTCGGCCACAATGGGAGCATTTACAGCGCAGAAACTGGTCAGTGTTACACATCAGGGATTACCCCCAGGCAGCAGGCTGTTAGACATCTCCGAGAGCAGCAGTGCCCCTCTCTGGTTCTCAGTTCTTTGGCCATCCCTGGGGTTGCGCTCACACCTCAAACCCTTTGCGTGTCAAATGATGCTTGAGAAGGAAGCGATTTTTGTTCCTGAGTGCTTTCACTGAAGCAAGCCCTATAGCAGGTGGTTATAGTTCAGTGTCCTCTGCCAGGATTCCATCTCAGTTCTGCCAGTCTCCGGGTGCTTTTCACTAAGTCCACATGGTCTCAGTTTGCCCATGGTGGGAAAAATCCTGTCTCAGATTGTCAACACAGGAAACAGCATTTGGGTAGATCAGAGGCCCTCTTCTCATCTCCCTAACCCTTCCACAAGCCCCCTGCTTCCCCCAACCCTACCCCGACCATTCTTGAACTGTCTCCCAGCAGTACTTCTTGCTATCAGGGTTGAGAGATTTTGTGGGGCTGGGTAAGCCTGACTGAAAGAGGTTCTTCCCTGCAAGCCCATACGGAAGAGTGGCCGGTTGCCTTCAAGCAGTTACTAATTGTGCACAGCATGTGCCGATGCACACGCCCTCTTTCCTAATATTCACATTTCCTACTTCCACCATTTTCTTTTCTGGGGCCTCTGGGAACCATTAACAAGGTTTTCTTGCTACTCAGGATTTGCAGGAAAATGCAGATGGGCCCAGAGCGGCCCAAGTGACATCTGGAAGGATGTGACAGAATTTGCTACTGGAACCTCTGCTTTTCTTACCTGCGTCGATCATTCGTCATCCTTTCCCCAGAATGGCTCAAATAGAATAAAGACTTCTCTGGGTCTGTGACTGGCCTTGGCCTGGCTCTGTTTGCACTGGAGGAGTGGGCTGGGCAGAGGGTGGGGGTCAGGCTCACTCATCATTCCAGTGGAGGAAAAGCACAGTTCAGTGCCTTTTTGTTTGTTTTTACAAACTCGATGGGACCACCTCCACCCCCATCACCACCCAATTTGCAATCAGACCTTCCCCAGACTCTGGAACACAGCCTCACACAGCCACAAGCTCCAAACAGCAGTGGATGAATGGTAAAACCTGAAATGATGTCAACGGCTTGTGCCGAAGCCAAGGAAAATATGTGGGGGCCCTCGGTGGCTTCATCCCTGTGCTTGCTGCAACGCAGCTGCGAGTCATAAGTTTTCCTTGTGAACAGACCAAGCACAGTCCCTGTGAATTAGATTCTGAGCCCAGCATACCCTTTGGACCTCTGGCATCCTCCCTCTCCCGGCTGCCTGTCCTCCTTGAAGAACTGAGTTCTCTAAGAGGTCAGAAAGGGGACATGATGGGGTGGCCGCATGGGTGGCCAGAACTGGTGGCATTTTGGAAGCCTTTTGAGGAAGAGCTTCAAGTCCACAAGGCGTGGTGGTGGGGAGGGAGAGGGAGCACCTAGCAGGCAGGGCAAGAGACAGGACGTCAGAGATGGAATCCCACAGCCGAAGTGACTCCGAGACTGGGGACAGCTGTTTCGACAGTTCAAGTCCTTATGCCTACTTTTTCTTGATGTATTGAGATTTTTGCATTTTGTTTCTTATTTTGAAGGGTGAGGGGCTTGAGTTGCCTAGAATGAGTGTTTCAATGTTTCTCTTGATTCTGTTCATGAAAAAAAATTATTTCAAAGTTTGTGGAAAAAAATGGAATTCAAAGAGAATTTTACTTTGGTGCAAAAAGTTTTTTGAAATCCATGCATAGTTTTTTTTTTATCATACATCTTTTTTTTTTTTTTTTTGTCATGAACTTTCTGAAGACCCCTCATATTGCCAAGAGGGTCTCTCAAAAGTTCTGCCCGTGGAGAGGTAGCCAGAGGGTCTCTGAGGGCCTGGGTCACCTTGTGGGCTACTTGATGGTGGGGCCATGGCCATGGTCAGTAATTCTGCTTTTGAATCTGAAACACACGGATGAAGTACCAGGGGAGTATCTTAAGTACCCAAGCAGCGCATTTTGTGGATCAAATGACAAGTTGGTGGAAGTGGTATTATTTTTCTGAGTACAGCAACGCAAGGGAGCCTGGGAGAGGGAGCAGTTAAGCATAACTCCCTGGCTGCCTCCCCCTCCTCCTCCCGCTGCCTCTCTCTCCCCTGGCCCTCTGTAAATTGCTCCAGCCAAGTGATGTTTGGAGAAAGTACGGTCTGAGTGCCTGACAACATGACGGGCTGCAGGGCCTCTCCTCCTCCACACTGACCGCTGGGGCCGGGCTGGGCGCGACTGGTCACCGCTGACACTTGGCTTCCATTTTACGATTGTGTTTACACAGCAAACATACTTTGGAAAGAGAAGAAGAACTCTCCCACGGCAGCTGGTCATTTCACCTTGTGATTACAGAAGCCGCGTGGGGCTGGGCCTGCTCATGGGTGCTGCGGGGTCCACACTAGGGGACACAGCTGTGCTAAGGCAGTGGATGTCCTGACACCTTCCCCTCCTGAGTCATTTGCCCCTGGGAGAAGGAGACGGGCTTCATGTCTCCCCAAGAAGGCAGAAAGCTGAGCCATAAAGTCAGAGATTCAGCCCAGCCTCTAACAGCCTTTCTCTTGCACCAAGGAAAAAGTAAAATAATGCAGTAGCTACAGGCTTCCAAAAACACGATGAGTTCTCCCCACACTTTAGCTGTCATCACTGCTGTTAATGTACTGCTAGGCACTGCCTTGGTGCCTTGTATATTTTTTTCGCTGACTGTTAACACCAGACAAGCAAGACAGGTAAAGTTGGCCCATGTTAAGGATTTGGCTCAGAGAAGTTAAGATCCCTCCCAGCATCACAGAGCTGGGTAGTGTCACGGCCGGCATGACCCTAAAGTTTCACCTCTGTAGGAAAACCCACAGCCTCCTAATGGATAGTCTCTACGCTCCTTTTCCTCTCACAGTGGACTGATCGGACACTGACTACACACAGTGCTAGGACCTCAGAATCCAGTGGGTGCTGGGTCTCTTCTGGGAGAGAAGCTTTCTCTTTGCTTCTCCTTCTCATCATCTAGTGCACTGGCCTCTGAGACTCTTCATAGATCCAGATGTGGTTGTGAGTGGCAGTTCTCTGAGGAACAGTGGATTTTGGGGCCAACTGCCCCTCCCTGTGTTCCTGATGGTATTGTTGAAACATTACTCAGGGATGGGGTTGGCTTGGACCTCAGAGGGCTGCCTCCTGGGAGCGGCTTCTTTACTGTGCTGAGTGCATCGCCACATCCTCCCACCAACACTGGGTGGAGAGATCCATAAGACTCTAGGAGACTTGGCAGGTTTAGCTCTGCTAGCTTATGGGGACAAGGAGTGATGGCCAGGGCAGATGAAGAGGCTGCTCACGCAGGCCCCAAGGAGTGGATCTGAGCAGAGAGGATGTGTGGAGTATGGGTGCCCACCCACAGAGCCCAGCCAGGGTCCTCAAACCCATAGCTACTGGAGCTGATGGATTTCTAGGTTTAGTGAGCCACTGAGAAGAGGAGGGGAGACCCTGAGGGTGAACCCAGGACTTAAGAGGAGTAGGCAGATGCCCTCTTCTTCACATAGTGGGCTTTAGTTTGGCCAAGGCTGTGTGTGTGTCTGGCGGGGAGGGAGGAACAGAGCTGTTATTATTCCCAGGACTGAAACCCCTCCTGCCTGGAAGGTGGCAGCAGGAAGCCTTCAGAATAGAACCCATGACGTTGTCTGGTGAGAGCTAGATAGAGCAACCTCTAAAATCCATAGTGGAATAATAGGATGATTGCATGCAAGCATGAATGAATGAATGAACAGATGAGATGGCAGGTCTATGCTGGTCTCTTCTGGCATTCCTTCTCTTTTCCTTTCCTACATGTATATGAATTCTACAAATTACTGAGATATCTGTGTCTCCTACTTTCTGGTAGAGTAAAAATTGGGTCAACTTATCAACAACAGTCAGGTACAATACCCAGGGTCATTGGCAAGGTGAATGCCATCTCTATGGCCTATTCCAGACAATCTGTGGGGAGTAATGAGGTAGATCCAGAAGACTCCTTTTTGAGAGCCAAGCTGGCTCCCAGTTACTGTGTGGCCTTACTTAGTTCCCTTTCCTTTGCTAGGCCATTAGCCACCACTTCTGTCAAAGGAGGGTGTGGGCCTAGGAGGATGATTAACAAAAAGATAAAAGGATGAGTCCTGGTACTAATGTGGAGAAAGGGGAACTCTACCTCATACACTGCTGTGGGGAAAGTAAATTAGTACAGTCGCTATGGAAGACAGTATAGAGGTTCCTCAAAAACCTAAAACTACTGTATAATCCAGTGACTCTAATACTGGGTATGAAATTCAAGAATCTAAAGTCAGTGTATTAAACAGCCCTCCCAAGGATATAACATCACTGGTCAGAATGGGCAAGATATGAAATCAACCTAAATGTCCAATAGATGCATGAACATAACATGGGACCTCTATAAAACTAAATACTCTCCGACCTTCAAAAAGAAGAAAAGCCTGTCATCAATGAACCTGGAGGCTATGATGTTATCTGAAATAAACCAGGTACAGATGCCACGTGATCTCACTTGAATATAGAATCTAAAAAGTCAAACTCATAGAAGAATTGTGGTTTCCAGGGCTTGGGGGAGGGTGTACAGCAGAGATGTTGGGCAGCAAACACAAAACATGACTTAGACACCAGGAATAGGTTCCAGAGATAGTGTTGTACTCCACGGTGATGGCAGTTGGTAAGGCATCGTGTACTTAAAAGTGCTAAGACAGCAGATTTTAAGTGTTCCCACCTAAAAAAAAGGTCTTTATGTGTACGTTAATTAGCTTCATCTAGCCATTCTACACTGTACTCCTGAACATATATCAAAACATCACGTTGTAATGACAAATCTATTCAATTTTTACTTGTCAACTAAAGAAGTTTTTAAATCTGACTTCATTTTTCCTCTTTTCCATTTTAAGATTTAATAATTTTTCACATTTCAACATATTTACTTCATATGTAGATATTTATGTATATATGCACACATATTTTTTCTCAACAGGGATGTTAATATCACAAAATGTATATTCATAACCATGAACATAAGGTGAAGAAAGAAGTGTAAATTGTCATTTACATGGTATAAGTCAGTGAAGACAATGTTTATAGCCATATACCAGATAATGTTATATCCACACAATGTTTTATACTCTCTATATAACTAGCTTCCACATATAAGAGGAAATGGGTGACATTTGTCTTTCTGTGTCTGGCTTATTTCACCTAGCAAAATGATTTCCAGTTTTATCAATTTTGTTGGAAATGTCAAGATTGCATTCTTTTTATGGCTCAGTAGTATTCCATCATGTTTATATACCACATTTTCTTTATTGGCTCATCATTTGTTAATTCCATGTCTTTGCTACTGTGGATTGAACTGCTATAAACTTGAGAATGCAGGTATCTGTTTCACATGTTGATTTCACTTCCTTTGGATATATTCCCAGGAGTGGGATGGCTGGGTCATGTGGTAGATTCATTTTTTGTTTTTTGAGGAATCTCTATACCATTTTTCATAATGATAGTATCAATTTGCATTTCTAACAACTGTTTATTAGGGTACCATTTTCTCTACAGCCTCACCAGTGTTTGTTATTTTTTGAATTTTGGATAATACCCATTCTAACTGGGGTGAGATGATAACTCATTGTGGTTTTTAATTTATATTTCCCTGATGGCTAGTGATCCTGAGCATTTTTCGTGTGTCTGTTCATATCCTTTGCCCATGTCTTAACTGGACTGCTTGTTGTTGAGTTGCTTGAGCTCCTTATATTTTCTGGATGTCAGTTCTTGCTTTGATGCAGAGCTTGCAAAACATACTTTTAAAAAGGAGGGTGTGGCCTAGGAGATCATCACGTATCTGGTGTCAGAGGCCTTGGAAGGCCCAAAGCCCTCACACACTCGGCCACTGAGAGCCAGACTCATGTCGAGGGTACGGCTGAGTTCTCAAGTGTCTTGATGCTCACAAGAAACATATTTTGGTTCCTGGCCTGAGATCCCAAGGGAGCTTGGCAGGGTGGTTTCTGGTCCTGTCAGTGGTCCGTCCCCAGAGCCACAATCAGAGAGAGAAGGGAGATTGAGGATTGCCAAATGCCCCAAGCTTGGGGTGAGTCACAGGGCAGGGATCCTCTCAGAGAGATGAGGAGAGCCTGGAGAGGGGGTGAGGAGGAAAACGCAGCTTTTCTGGATCCTGGAGCAGAGAGCAGCAGGTTCCCTAGTGCTACAGGGTCCCCTCTCCCCTATTCAGGTACAGTAATGACTGGGAAGGATGGGTCTGAAGCAGGAGCTGGGTCTCTGTCCTGTGTCAGTGGCTCATCCTTAGCTGATGACTGATGACTGTGATGATTTAGATGAGCGCAGAATCAAGGAGACTCTGGAAGGAAGACATGGACTCCCAAGAAAGGTGCCTGGGAGTTTGGGCCAGAGACAAAAACCAGGTCTGAAAGGAGATAGGCCAGGAGAAAACATCTGCTGGCTGGGTGGCCACATAGTGTGGAAGCCAGCATCCATGTACAGATGTGAGGGCCTGAGCCACCAATTAGCTGATGGGGCAGGCCCAGGAGCTGCGAGGTCAGCAGGGAAGGGAGGCCTAGACAGGCTGGGAGCCTCTTTCTGCCTCCCACAGTAGCAGGTTTCAGGCTGCTCCACTTGCAGAGCTGGTTCTACCTAAAGTACGTGCTGCAAGGCAGTGAGTAGGTCTCCTGTCCTCTCTGTCCTTGGCCCACTAGTAACCTTCCTACAGGTCCCTGGAATTGC